TCCTCATCATCACCCTCATCAACATCATCATCATCATCATCATCATCATCATCATCATCATCATCATCATCATCATCATCATCATCATCATCATCATCATCATCATCATCATCATCATCATCATCCTCATAATCATCATCATCATCATCATCATCATCATCATCATCATCATCATCATCTCCATCATCATCATCATCATCATCACCAACATCATCAGCAGCATCATCATCTTCAGCATCACATCATCGCCATCATCATCATCATTCATCATTCATCATTCATCATTCATCATTCATCATTCATCATCAGCAGCATCATCATCATCATCATCAGCATCATCATCATCAGCATCATCATCATCATCGTCATCATCATCAGCAGCATCTTCATCATCATCATCATCGTCATCATCATCATCATCATCATCATAATCATCATCATCAGCATCATCATCATCGTAATCATCAGCATCACCATCATCATCATCATCAGCATCAGCATCATCATCATCATCAGCATCAGCAACAGCATAATCAGCATCAGCAGCAGCATCAGCATCGTCATCATCATCAGCATCATCAGCATCATCATCAATATCATCAGCATCATCAGCATCATCATCATCATCAGCATCAGCATCACCATTATCAGCATCACCAGCAGCATCGGCATCATCAGCATCATCAGCATCATCACCATCATCATCATCATCATCACCATCATCATCATTATCATCAGCAGCAGCATCATCATCATCATCAGCATCAGCATCAGCAGCACCATCATCATCATCACCAGCCGCATCAGCAGCATCAGCATCATTAGCAGCAGCATCAGCAGCATCCGCCGCATCATCAGCATCAACATCATCATCAGCATCAGCACCATCAACGTCCGCATCAACCTCAGCATCATCGTCATACGCGTCATCATCATCATCATCAGCACCATCATCAGCATCATCATCATCATCATCATCATCAGCATCGTCATCATCATCATCGTCATCATCAGCATCATCATCAGCCTCCGCATCCTAATCCACAACCTCCTCGTCCTCCTCATGCTCTGCATCCGTAACCTCGGCATCCATCATCCTCCTCCGCCTCCACCTCCGCCTCCGCCTCCGCCGCCGCCTCCGCATCAGCATCCTCTTCCTCCTCATCATGAGCAGCAGCATCAGCAGCATCAGCAGCATCATCAGCAGCAACAGCAGCATCAGCAGCATCAGCATCATCATCAGTAGCATCCGCATCAGCAGCATCCTCGTCATACTCAGCATCATCATCATTGTCATCAGCATCATCATCAGCAGCAGCAACATCAGCATCGTCATCCGCATAGTCATCATCCTCAGCATCACCATCATCACCATCCTCAGCATCATCATCAGCAGCATCATCAACCGCATCATTTCATCATCCGCCGCAGCACCATCATCAGCAGCATCTGCATCATCGTCAGCATCAGCATCATCAGCATCATCAGCATCAGCATCATCATCAGCATAATCATCATCCACATCATCATCAACGTCCTCATCAGCATCAGCATCATCATACGCATCATCGTCATCATCATCAACATCATCAGCATCATCATCCTCAGCAGCAACAGCCCCCTCATCATCATCCTTACCGCGCGGACGAAGGCACGGTCGCGCCCCAGTGCAGACTGCTCGTCGGGAGTGAGCTGTTCCTGCGCTCAACCTCCGCCCTGCTGCGCTGTTGCACAAGCACGGCGGCGGGGAGTTGTCGCGAGCCCCTGGGTGTAGCAGGACAAGTTGGAACGCACGCTTCCAATACTCTCCAAGCTGGTTTCAACATCCAACAGCATAGCCCAAACTGGGCTCGACGGCCGCCCAAGATAGACCCAACGGTCCCCCATGTAAGCCACCGAAATGTCAGAACCACTGTTCAACGCAACGGTGTGAAATAGTGATTGCAACCATGTGTCCTAAACCATGCAAGGGAAATGAACGATCTCTGGCGCGACTTGTACGTGTCGCTCCAATGCGCTATGTGTGGCGTCTACGGTGCCTCAGAATGCCTTAGCCTGTCGCTACGTGTGGTTGCTAGCCTGGTGCCTCATTGGTGGTGCCCTGCGAAGGATGCTCAGGAATGCCCGAGTTTGGTGTGGTGTCTAGTTTTCCTTGTGTCCCCTAGTTGGTGCTGGTGCTCTATGATGCCTCAGTCTGCTGCGATTTCTCGTTGTCGACCTGGCGCGCACTCGGGGGTTCCTACATGGTCAGGAATGACTGGGAAGTGAAGGTGGTGAGTCCTGGTTGCAGCCTTGATGCTCTGTGGTGCCCTATTGGCGGTGCCATGTGATGCCTTTCGGCTGGTGCGCTATGATGTCCAATCATGTCTCGCCTTATGGTTCTCGTCCTGGTACCCTGTGGGTGGTGTGGTGGTCAATGGCTGATGCCCTGATGCTTTAGTCTGTTGCAGGTTCAGGTTGCTGGCTGTCGCCACTACGCCCTATGGCTGATGCCTTACGATGCCTATGCCTGCCCAGATTTCTGGTTGCCGCTTTGGTGCCTCATGGGCGGTGTCCCATGGCCGCTGCCCAATATAACGCCCCATAGTGGTGCGATTTCTGGGTGCCGCCCTGTTGCACTGTGGGTGATGCCCCACGGGTCACGGGTGGTGCCCCGATGGTGCCCCAAGATGCTGCGATGCTGGTTGCCGCCCTGGTGCCCTCAGGGTAGTGTTCTATAGTGCCATGTGGTATTCACCCCAACCTGTTGTGATTTCTGGTTGTCGCCCAAGTGTCCTATGTGTGGTGCCCTAAGGGTTGTGCCCCACGAGTCCCCAGTACGCTGCGACTTCGGTTTGTCGGGCTGATGCCACATGGGTGGTGTTTCATGGTTGGCGCCGTCATATGATGTCTGTGCTTCTGGTGTCTGGATGCCGCCCTGGTGCCCCATGGGTGGTGCACTGTGGCTGAAGCCCTACGATGCCTCAATGGCTTGCGATGTCTGATTGCCGACATGGAGTCGTATGGGGGATGTCCAATAGCTGGCGCTCTGTGATTACTCATTAGACAGCCTGCATCCATCCTGGGTAGCGATACCGATCCTTCTTAAGAGGTGTGCACGCGGTACACACGACATGAGGACGTACACGTGTGAAGGTAGAAACGAGCAGCTCTAATTGTCCAATGTGCACACCGAGACTGCTGCACCGCGCAGATCACATCGACCAATGACACTGACAAGCCTTCCCGACGAGGCAGCGAAGCCCAAAGCCCATCCACGATGCCAACTCCCCATGTCCATCCCCTGTGTCCATCCGCCGTGTCAGTCCCCACTTTCCATCCCCACGTGTCCATCCCCAGCGCCCATCCCCCGTGCCCACGTCCACGTCCATCCCCATATCCGGTGGGCGCTCATCGCCTGCGCGCCCCCGAAGCGCAGAGCCCAGGTGCGGCAAAGCGCGGAGCACGGAAGGCCGCTTGGGCAATGCCCTTTTCTGTGCAAGGTCCATAGCGCACGGACTGGGCAGGCTGCCAGCCAGCACGACTTTGCCAACCAGCTTCCCTGGACCTACAGCGGAGGCCAGTCCACAAGAAACGTTGCGCAAGAAACCCAACCCTGAGACCACGGGACGCCCCTTGATTCTTGGCGTGGGAGCGTCACGCCCGCCACAGCTAAACCATCGAAAGCCAAGAAACAGAGGGCACCCTGGAGGCAAGCAGGGTGGTTCTTGGCATGGGTCTCCACTGTACTTTGGGCAGGGCATCCGCTGACATCCGTGTCTCTCCGTGATTTTCCCCCCAGGCCGTGCCCTGAGAAAAAAAAAAAAAAAAAAAAAAATGAAGCAACCCGTCAGGCAGGAAGGAGCAGGGAAGAGGGGCTCCTGATTGCAGCGCCCTGTGGACGAGGAGACGAGGAATCGCTTCTGGGCAAGCGTGCTCCACTGGTCGCAAAAAAAAACACTGCTCGCAAATGGCCTGGATCCGCCATGGGGGGGTTGCGAGCAGTGGAACGCGCTCCGCGTGTTTCGGAGAACGCCATCACTCTGCGGGCGTTGAAGCCGCAGGCAAGCCCCAAGCGAGAGCGCCCCCTGCGGCCCCCCAGAGGTGCCAGGTTGGGAGACTCGCAGAGCGAGCACGGAGGCGCAGGCAGTCCTCGACATCTGCCTCTGCCCGGAGTGGTCCGGATGGCCCATCTTCTTCTTGCCCATGGACCTCCGCTGACACGCGTGCCAGGAGACTGCGAAAGAAGCGCAGGCCCCAGCAAGATGTCACTCGATCCTGCTCACAGGAAGCAGTCGTGGGAGAAGTCCTCTGGTTGCGCTTCCGAGAGCGAAAGGGCCCTGGGACACACAAATAAATACACGCAAATAACCGGATTCCCCATATTTTCCCATATTTTCTGGGTTTCTGTCTTCCCCCCCACTTCCCATATTCTCGCATCTTTTCCTGGGAATCGACGATTCATTGTGCCTGTGTGTTTTTTCCCCTCCTGAGAGAGCTTGGCTGATCCTGGGTGGCTAGCAGGGCCCCTGTCATTTCGGCGGGCCTGCGGAAACGTCGGGCACCGCATGAATGTTGTCCTGGACCACTGGCCGCACACCTTTTGACGAACGAACAACACACACCCATACCCATAAGGGGGTTCGTGGGAAGGAGGACTGGCTATGGGTATGGGTGCGGGTTGTCGGACCCTGGGGAACGCTCCCGTTCGAGCGGGGCCCCCCATCCGACATGTTGTTGGTTCGTCACCTTTGGTAGCGCCTCCCCCAAAGCCCGACCCACGCCATCCTGGTACTCGCAGCCTCGCGCGCGGGTGGGGTCACGCTTGCGTACCCCGTCCACCGTCACACAGAGGAGCATCGCAGAGGACCGCGTACGCTGGAGGGTGGCGGATGGCGCTGACGCGTCGGCAACCTCGCAACGTAGCCTTTGGCACTGCAACGTGGTAATCAACGACAAACCTTGAACATCATTGAAGCCTTCTGACCTCAGCAATTCTAAGTTCCTGAACTTACGAATTTCTCAATCATGCTGAGTGTACACTGCGCTCTTCGGACCCCGTGTCACCCACTCCAAAATATCCGCCGGCCCCCTTGCGGGGCCATCAGGCTGCGAGGATTAAAGTTGCTTCTCCCTGCACCAGTTCCAGTTTCCAGTTTTCATCGTTACAGTACTGCTTTCTGCTTCCTACTGTAAATTGTTACTGTCCGCGCGAGGGGGGGGGAGCCGAAAAGGGCCCTGGTTAGCGTCCCCCGGGAGGGTTCTCAGAATTTCATGGAAGTTTCGTGCCCCCCAAGCCATAATCCGTCGCAAATTACGCTGTATTCGCGCCCCCGAGGCCACGATCCCTTGCAATTTACACAACATTTGCATCTCCGAGGCCACGATCCCTCGTAAATTACTCCGCATTCGCGCCCTCGAGGCCACGATCCCTTGTAAATTACGCCGCTGTCGCGCCCCCCAGGCCACGATCCCTGGTAAATTACACCACATTCGCGTCCCCGAGGCCACGATCCCCTGCAAATTACACCAAATTCGCGCGCACCCCCCACGCTACGAATACACTTCGCGGAAGCTGCCCAAAGGCGCCACTCCTTCTCCAGAGCAGAAAAAATAACCTTCCCAGAGATTGCCTGAAGCATTCCCCAGCCGTTCCCAGAGCGCTTCCAGTGAACAACTGGAGGAAGATGAAAAGAAGGCAACAAAGCGTTCAACAACAGCTTCAACATCTCAATCTGTTTTGCTCATCGCCAGCCGCCCTATCATGACGTTCCCGAATGTCATCAAGACGGCGCCCGAACATCCCAATACAGCTCTGATGTATCCCATTCTGATAGAGAGGGGGCCGGCGGCAGGGGGTGAAGCCCTTACGGATAATATCCGCGAATCGCCCAGCGCCGAACCCGCCTCTTAGAGTCCGACCTAGGCCACAAAAACATCCCTCAAGAACATGAGACCCTCGGTCGACCAACACAAACAGAACAAACACGAAGAACACTAGGGTAAGGTCTTCAAAGCCTGGGCCGTGACATTCCCGTAATTCGTGAACGCTCTTGGACGCTCCTGGGGTTTCTTGCGTGGGCCTCCGAGACGGTGACCCCGCCCAAAACGGCCCGAAGAACCCTCCAGGTTTTCCTGAGATGCGCCAAGAAGGTCTAAGAGCGCCCCGAGACAGTCCCCGAGGGCCACAAGACTGCCCACGATGCCCTCAAGACTGCCCAAGAAGCCCCCAAGACGCCCCAAGACGGCTCCAAGAGGCCCCCAAGAGGGCCCCGATATACTAAATCATTGACTTGCCCATGTTTTATGGGAGGAATTGGGTGTTCTCGCCTGTTCGGGCTTTCAACATGCCAAGACGGCCCAAGAGGCCCCCGAAACCTCACAAGACGGCCCAAGAACTCCGAGAGGTCCCCCAGACGGCCCAAGAGGCCCCAACACAGCCCTCAAGACAGCCCAAGGGGGAGAGGAGGTGGTGGTGGTGGTGGTGGTGGTGGTGGTGGTGGTGGTGGTGGTGGTGGTGGTGGTGGTGGTGGTGGTGGTGGTGGTGGTGGTGGGGTGGTGGTGGTGGTGGTGGTGGTGGTGGTGGTGGTGGTGGTGGTGGTGGTGGTGGTGGTGGTGGTGGTGGTGGTGGTGGTGGTGGTGGTGGTGGTGGTGGTGGTGGTGGTGGTGGTGGTGGTGGTGGTGGTGGTGGTGGTGGTGGTGGTGGGTGGTGGTGGTGGTGGTGGCGGTGGGGGCGGTGGTGGTGGTTGTGGTGGAGGTGGTAGTGGTGGTGGTAGTGGTGGTGGAGGTGGTGGTGGTGGTGGAAGAGGAGGAGGAAGAGGAGGTGGAAGAAGACGAGGAGCACGAAACGACGTTTCGAGCCCTCCGCCTCAACAAAACGGCTCCCAAGAGGCCCCGAATCGAGCCCCAGGGGCCCCCAAGGGCCTCCCGAGGTGGGCTTGTTCTCCACCGCCACCACCCTAAGTGAGGGGGGGGAGGGGGGGTCATCCTCCCCCTCTTCTTCCTCCTCCTCCTCCACCTCCTTCCCCCCTCCAACTTCTGGTGGTGGTGGAAAACATGCCCATCATCCCAAGCACGCAAAAACCACTTCCAACAAGCTACCGAGTGGCCTCCCGAGAGATCCCCACAGGCAGCCAGGAGGCCTCTGACCTACAACCAGGGCGCGGTGGCGGGATGAGCTGGAAGCCACTAAAGTCGTTTCGTATAGTAAGGATGCGCGATAAGGATGCAAGGAACTTGGACGCCCATTTCGAAGCTTTTCGAGCGGGGCGCGGCGAACAAAAGTGGCCAAGGATGGACCGAGGAGGCAAGGATGCAAGGGTACCCTTGGGAAGGCTGTTCATTCTTGCGATGCGAGTTGACTGTAGATCCGCCGCTCCCTTTTGATTTAGCGAAGGGGTGCCTGGTGTGCCAAGCGTTTCCTATTTGGGGCGTTTCACGTTTGGGGCCTTCCCAAAAGGTTCCCAGTCGGGTCTCGGCCGACTCCGCCAGTCGCGCGGAAACAGTCCACAACACAATTCCCCACGACAACAACGATGGCCCACGATAGCCTCCAAGACGGCCAAGATGGCCCAAGATGGCCTCCGGTCCCAATACGCCTCCAAGACGGCCAGGGTGGCCCGAAGACGGCCCAAGATGACCTCCAGACGGCCCGAAAGGCCCACAAGACGCCCCCAGAGGGCTCCAAGAGGACCTCCAGAAGGTCAACATCAGGTTTGCAACGATCTTGGCGCTTTCAACGATTTTAGCACTCTCGCATTTTTGGCCATCCGACGTTCCAAGACGACCTCAAGATCGCCCCAAGACGGCCCAACCACCAGGAGGCCCGCAAGACAGGCAAAGAGGGCCCCAAGACGGCCCAAGAGGCCCACAAGACGGCCAGAAGACGGCGCCACGGACTTCCAAGACTGCCCTAAAGCGCCCTAAGAGGGAGGCCCCCAAGAGGTTCGTCAGGGGCCCCCAGTGGGCTCCCAGGAAAACCCCAGGAAGACACGAGATGGCCTCAAAAAGCATCATGTTCCTCTTCCTCCTCCTCTTCCTCCTCCTCCTCCTCCTCCTCCTCCTGCTCCTCCTCCTCCTGCTCCTCCTTCTTCCTCCGTCTCCTCCCTCTCAGCATTATTTCTCTTTCTCGCCCAGGTTTTCTCCCAAGGGATTCTACACCGGCTGGGGGGACACATAGTCCAATAGTTTGGCCAGACTTCGGCCCAACGTTTAATCGCATGGGCAGGGGGCGGCGATGGTTCGACGTAGGCGTCTTCGATTATATCAATCTCCTGGGTGACCTGGGGCACATGAAAAGACAACGCGCCCTCACTTCCAGATCCACGATCCCTCGTATAACCTAATTCGGGTACAAGAGGAACGCTGCTGACGACAATCCTGTGTATGCGTAATGATGATATTGGAGCCTGCCAGGAGAGCCCAGAATCGAATCGACAAGTCGGGTCGGCAATCGAAATGAGTCGGATCGGCAATAATCGGCAGCCGAGTTGGGAAAAGTCAAGTCGGCAGAAATCGGCAAGCTATAGGCCTCCATTGAGGAATCGGAACCCAGATCGAAATCTGGAATCGAATCGGATCAGACTCGGAGGCCATCGAAATCGAATCGAATCGAGTCGGAGGAATCGAAACGAGCCCTGGCCTGCTGGGCAACGCCGGAGACCCTCCGAACAGCTGCTGGGGCGTCCTGGGGCCCCTCTGGGACCGCCTGGTGCGTGCCCCCTGGCGGCCTGTGCGCGTGCACAGGTGGAGCAGTGCGCGGCCGTGAGGCCAAAAGAGAAGGAAACATACCAGGAGAGAGCCCAGAGTCGAGTCGACGAGTCGGATCGGCGATCGAAACGAATCGGATCGGCGGAGGCCGGCAGCCGAGTCGGGAAGAGTCGAATCGGCGGAAATCGGCAGGCTAGCAGGCCTCCGTCGAGAAATCGGTGCCCAAATCGGAATCCAGAATCGAATCGAATCGGAATCGGGAACCATCGAAAACGAATCGAATCGAATCAGAGGAATGGAAACGAGCCCTGACATGAGGACGCGCATGGCTCCAGAAACATTACGAGTCGCGCGCTGGACTGCAAGCGACAACTGCGTAAATCCTTGCTGTCCCTCCTGCAATTTGCAATCTTTGGGAGGACGGCGACCCAAGCAATATCATCCAAAATTGCTGCGACGAGTCTCTGCGGAGCCCGTTCATAAAAGATACGTCCAAATGTCGACCGCCGTATCCGCGTTAGCGTGTTCCAGAAAGGCTTCGCCAGAGCACGCCGGGAAAGCGATGCCCAGTCAAGAGCATAGCACCCAGCTAGACCCAGGACTGCCCCTACATAGCCTGGCGGCTAGACATGGGCAAGCACCCTCTGACGATGTCATTGGTCCGATGGAGGTCTAATAGGTTCTTGAAGTCGCAACGCAACAAGAACAGCACACTAGACACAAGCCAAGCTAACAACCCAAAAACCTCCCGGGTGCGAGGACGTGGCGAAAGGCAGCAGAAGACAAGGGGGCATCCGCCGCCGGCTCACGAGCCAAACGGCGAGTAAGAGAGGATGGCAATCGAGACCCAAGGATTAGTTCGCTAGGCCCAAATCCAGCCAGGCTCTACCCTTGCAGTCTACATCCTTGCTGCCCCCCCCTGCCATTCACAGTTTATCGGAGGACGACCCGCAAGAAACATCAGCGCAGGTTGCTACGAATTGTCGGTCTGTGCGGAGCCCGCTCATACAGGACACGCTCAGATGCCGACATCCGTATCTGCGCTAGCGCGTTCCGGAAAAGCGTCGCCAGAACATGCTGGGAAGAAGGCGTCCAGTCCAGAACACAGCACCCAGCTAGACCCAGGGCTGCCCCCACATAGCCTGGCGACTAAACCTGGGCAAGGGATGTCGTTGGTCCGACGGAGGGATGGCGGGCTCTTGAATTCACAATACTCAAGGGGCCCCAGGACATACAAATAAATACACACAAATAATACGATTCCCCATGTTTCCCAATATTTTCTATGTGTTTGTCTTCCCCCCCCACTTCCCGTACTTTCCCATATTTTCTGGGGAATCGACGATTAATTGTATCTGTGCGTTTGTTTCCCTCCTGAAACACGATTAAAACAGCAAATTGGACACCCCCTAATGACACGCCACCTCCGCTCCAACGTCAGCCCACAGTACCTGGAAGAGCTGGCCGAAGCAAAACATGTCGTTAGACCAACACGGCGAACGAGACTCCGATATATAGCCCAATGCTGCTGTCTCACCCGGGCGCCGTCTTCATCCACTGCGCGGGCCTCTCCGACGCGCGGATCGCTAAGTTAGCGAGGAAGACGAGTCGTCTGCAGTGTCTTTGCGTGGACGATGTCCGAAAATTGGTAAGCCGTGCCCAGCCGACGTTGCATGCGCGGGCGCGCTCCTCGACCTCGCGGGCACTGTAACCGTCGGCGCAGGACGTACGCACCGAGGTTGATAATGTCCGTCACACAGGCGCCGCGGAGTTGCTACTCCGCCTTCTTTGCGGCTGGAATCGTGGATAATCTGACTACGGCCTCCTGCTTATCGACGTTCTGTCCATGGCCGCCTTTTTTGCAGTTTGGCGTTGAACAGAAATTCATCCATGCAGTCAATGGCGAGGGCTTGCCGCAATGCGTCAAGATGCGAATGATGTCGTATAGGAATGCACCCATGTCTACGCGGCACGAGTTGCCCGTGATAGGACTGGTCGCTGCCAGCCCGTCGCCAATAATATCTGCAAGCTCTCGGTCCCACTCGGTAATCAAAGGATAGAAACATTCCATGAACAGTTCAGGCTCGTCACCGTCGCCCATGCGCCCGCCGCTCTGGGGACGGACTCCAAGCATAGCATCACTAGGGTCTATGATCACCGTGGCCCTCGTTCGCTTCTGGTAGAACATGTCCTCGAAGTGGTCGTCATCGGCGCGAACCTGATGGGCGTCCAGTAGGCGATCCGTCAAACCTGTGCCGACGGCGTTCCGCATGTCAAACTCTGAACAAGATGTGGGACGTGGGTTTTCCATAGCTTGTAAGTTGCAATATGTGCTAGCATCATAAGAGCTTCACGTCTGCGTGCTCGGATGCCGCCATACGCCCCTGCGGGCGAGTGGGTAAGTGCTGTCAAACTATCAAAATCAACAAATCCGCATCGTAGATATACTCGCCAGAGAGGGCGGAAAACGTGCAGCAACCTGAGACAATGAGTCAAATCGTGTACTGGATCTCCTCGCGCCTAATTGCCTTTTTTCCAGCCGCACTTGTCTGATTAGTGTGTGACTGCACACGTGGAGCTTCTGTGTCGCGTACGTGCGCCAACAGGCTTATGAGCATGACCCGAGGGGCGTGACAGTGTTGCTCGTCTAGGTCCGCTCGTCTAGGTCCAATCGCCGTTGGTCAGGTCGTCGGTCATGCTGTGGTGCGTTGTCTTGGCGATCGTTGTTCATATGTCCGAGCCCAGGTCGTAGTGCTTCCAGTGAGCATGCGTAATCTGTAGTAGCGTATCCTATGCCACTACCAAATAGTCCAAGACGGCTGAGGTACTTAGGAAATAACAGCACGCATGTTAACTCAACTGGCCATGACCATGTAAGTGAATATATCCCGTGTTTTGCAGTCCATGTTACGTTCCTCATTGTGGTAAGATCAGTGTTTGTCTAGTAGGGTCCACTCTGTGCTCGCCGACAGGTTGGATTGATGTCGTTGTCGTCTCAATTGTGAAATTCATCATTTGCTTGTTCGTATTCGATGTGTATGCTGATGTGTGCGGGGGTCGCGCTGAGGCCGCCGTTTCCATCCTAAGTCGTTGTTTGGCGGCCCCGGGGACCGGTGAGGGCCCCCAGAGGCCGGAGATTGCGAGAAGCCTCCCGTCGTGAGCTCTTCAACACTCGAGGGGGTCTGGGGAGACCGCCTCGAGCGAGCTCCCCCACCTCCCCCGGCGCCGACCTGTTCGGGAGCAGCCAAGAGGGGGGTGTCCAAGAGGAGGGGGTGCAAATCATGGCCGGCGGCACGTGCGCGGCCCAGCGGGGGGACCAGGGACGTAATGAAATAAGAAGAGGCGCGATGAAATATGCCGCCCCCGACCTGTGCGCGAGCGATGGCGGCCCAACGGGCCGCCGCGAGGCGCCCGGGACCTCCCACGAGGAGCGCACGCGGCGATCTCCGGCCTCGTCGCTGGCGACTGGGCCCCGGTGAAGGCTGGCCGGGCCCGTGTCAAGGAAGAGATCGGAGGCCTCTTCTTCTGCTTCTTCTTATTATTGATATTATTACACCTATTTTATTATAATAGCATTATTATTAATATTCATCTTCTGCTTCTTATCATTATTATTATTATGATTATGATTATTATTATTATTATTACTATTATTATTATTATTATTATTATTATTATTATTATTATTATTATTATTATTTCTTTCATGAAGCGCAAGAAACCTAGGTTTCCGCTCTTGGCTACCGCTCTACGGTGCCGGAAGAGCTGCAAACTCACGCGATGCTTCGTCGAGGGCCATCGCTTCTGCTCGGGAGATCAGCATCGGAGATCCACCGAGACTTGGCTCCGTCCTCCTGGGCCCGGGCGGGCAAGGTCGGCGCAACCCTCTGCTGCTTGGGCATCCGGGTGCCCCTCGCCGCCCCGGCCGTACAGGGAAGCACCGACGAGACAGTCGAGGCAGCAGGCGCCGCACTCCACGAGGAGCACGACGCCGAGGGCACAGCACCGTCAGAAGACTCCGGGCATGGGCGATGAACGATCTGCCGAGCCAGGCTGCTCACGTGCGCCCTGGAGGTGCGACTGGCCACCTGCCATTCAGCAACCGCATCCTCAAGGAAGGCCGGCACCAGGCCCCTAAAGAAGCCCCGCACCTCGTCCGCCGTGTCGACACACCCTGAAAGGCCCAGCGAGGTAGCGATACCCAGCGGGACCAGCACCTTCTGGGCAGGGACGGAAGCTCCACACCAGCCGAGGGGTCCTTCGCCACCGACTACAACTGGGAGGTGTGCTGAGATCGTGGGCCCCACAGGCCGCATTAACCCAGGAACGGGAAGGAGGAGGATCCATGAAAGGGCCCAGGACACACAAGTACATAGACACAAATCCCAGGATGTCCGTATATTTTTCCACATGTTCTGGAGTTTCGTCTTCCCCTTTACTTCCTGGGCATCGACGATAATTTGTGTCTGTGCTTTTCGGGGACGCGCAAACATGGATTAGCGATCCATGGATTTGGCGCGCGGTCGCCAAATCCATGGATCGGGGGAGGTGCCCTCCCCAAAATGCGGCTGGTGCCGCCTCGCTCGGCGGCGGAAATCCGCGATTCCCCATGGAAATGGCACCCGTCGCTAATCCACGCCCCCCGTCATCCATGAATGCGATCGCCTGAGATGTTGCTCCCTCCTGAATCCGCCTGAGGAACCTTGATTCGGCGGTGGACAAACCTCCCTTTAGTAAACCTCCCTTCGGTGAAAACGACCTAGGACCAAAACCGACGGACCTGGACCCGCAAACATGACGGCCGCGGCGCCCTCGCGCGAACCGAAAACGGCCAATTCGCTCATCGACGCGTCGAGGTAGGAGGTCTGTCGACCTGCGATTGATCCAACCTCACCTGTGTCCCCCCCGAGCCGAGGGAGCACATTCTCCCCCTCGGCCCCGAGCCGCCCGCTCCCGCGGACGAGCATACACCGCAGAGGAGCCACCGCCCGCCCGCCCGTGGGGCGATACCGCTGGGACCGCTCACCTGAAGGGGCCCTGGGACATACGAATAAACACACACACACACAAAAAAAAAAAAACGGATTCCCCACATCTTCCCATATGTCCTGGGCTTTTGTCCTCCCCCCCACGTCCCATACTTTCCCATTATTTCCCTGGGAGTCGACGATGCATTGTGCCTGCATGTTTTTCTCCCTCCTGACAAGGGAGCACGCACGGGAAGCGCACGATGCCGACGGCGGTGGTGCCGCCTGCCCTGCGGCTCCGGGCGAGGGGGCGTCCGCCGCCGGCTCACGAGCCCAACGGCGAGCAAGACGGGATGGCAGTCGAGGCCCACGGGGTTGCTTCGCGAGGTCCCACTCCAAAAGGGGCCCTGCCCCTGCAATCCTGAACGGGAGCGGCCTCCAATCTTGAACAGCATCAGACCTGCGGATGGCGACGTACCCCGACCCCCGCCGTTCCCTTCTCAACTACACGCACGAGTGACCCTGGGTAAGAGCGACCTTTGATGCGCGGCTTTGGGGGGCCGCGGGTGGTGGGGGGCCAAACACGAGCGCGCAAGACGCCACTACTGCCTCGCGTTCGGCGATCGGGGGGCTCCGTTGGGCCCGCACCAGAGGTCACTCTGGCGGAAGGTCACCCTCACGTGCAGCCTTGTCATGTGCTGTTCCCATCGTACTGAAGGACCACATCCCAGAAATGACTTCGAGCACCCAGAAAAGTATCGAAACAGTGCCTGCCCGCCACGCTGGCGAGGTGTCGCACGAGCATCGCCTCCCAGGACCCGACGCGTGAAAACCCTGCAATCTGGGCACCCTCCTGGTGCTCGAAATCCTTTCTGGCGATCAAGGCTGAAGCAGGTCGGAACATCAGAAGCGCAGCCGACCATTCATTCTGCCCCTCCTGGCACCCGAGGCCCGGACTCCAGCGTCACGCCGGGCGCCACGCCCATCGTCTCCAGCACGGGGGGCTGGTTGTGCTGGAGCCTCGAGAAGAAGTCCGTGAACTGCTCGGGCTCCTCGGGTGCGCAGGAGGTGCTCCACATGGTGCGTGGCGACGCACGCGCGCCCCAGGGGCAAGAAGGGGAGAGACGGACCTGGGACAGAAGAACATCCTGCAAGAGCATGAGACCCTCCGCCGGCCAAAACACGCACAGGACATCCAAGGGCACCCTCCCCCAGGGCGGGCACGAATACATCCAACGAGCACGAGGACCGTGAGGGCACCTTCCCCGAACCGACCTCGATCTTGTACCTCGGTGCGACTGTCCCAGACCCCCGACGTCATGTGTTTTTTTGTCAGAAACCCTCAGAATTCTGTAGGAGTAGGAGGAGGAGGAGGAGGAAGAGGAGGAGGAGGAGGAGAAGGAGGAGGAGGAGGAGGAGGAGGCTGAGGAGGAGGAGGCAGAGGAGGAGGAGGAGGAGGTAGCCCCCTTCCGCTGGTACGAAGACGACGATGACGATGACGATGACTATGACGATGACGATGACGATGACGATGACGATGACGATGATGATGATGATGATGATGATGATGATGATGATGATGATGATGATGAGGATGAGGATGAGGATGAGGATGAGGATGAGGATGAGGATGAGGATGATGATGATGATGATGATGATGCTGCTGCTGCTGCTGCTGCTGATGATGATGATGATGATGATGATGATGATGATGCTGGGTGGTCTCGGCAATAGGGTGGACCGGGCACATCGTCGTGGACCCTCGGGATCGGGACGACGTCGAGAACGCCGAGAGAGACGGGGAGAACAGGATTTATCTGAGGCGCGTGCCGCTTGGGTTCTGGGTGCGCATGGAGGAGGGGACCGGTTTTTCATCCTGAGTGGTTGTTTGCCCGTCCCGAGGCCCGGCGAGTGCCCCTGGAGGCCGAAAATAGCGAAAAAGCCTCCCGTCACGAATTTTTCGCGACGCGAGGAGGTCTGGGGTAGCAGGTTCCCAGCACCTGCCCTCCTCCGATCCAGACTCTCAGGGCGGAGCACTCTGCAGTGCAGCGGTGGCCCAAGCAAGGAAAAATGCACCTTCTGTCCGGGTGCCCGCGTCCTCCGCAGGAGAGCTTATACTTAGGTCGGGCATGTCCTCCTACAGGCAGGTTCTGTAAGAAAACTGAAAATTAGTTCAGAACATCGTGAAAAATACTCTGGAAAAGACGCCCCCATACTATTTACACTTATTTTGAACATTCCTCCTGTGGAGGGACATGCCCGACGTAAACTTACCCCGGGAACGCGAGGTTGTCAGAGCTCTGGGCTGCTCCTGCGGCAGCTCCTGCTCCACTCGGGAGGGACC